TGTACTGCTGCCATTAGGGTGGCCGGAGGGACCATTCACAAGCTGCCTACAGCCCAGGTACATATTGATTGGGGTACCTGAGCTAAATCCGTGGAAGTGGAAATCATGCCCGACGTGCTGGCAGAAGGACTTCCTTAGCCCGATATGCTTCCCACCACCCCAGTCGGGGTAGAGCAAGTCTGTTTAGGAGCTGACTTAAGCACCTCTGAGATAGAGCAAGCATCCCAACTGCTAAGGGAATACGGTGATATGTTTTTGGCTCTACCAGGGTGTACGACGCTGGCGGTTCACCGAGTGGAAACCCCAGCTCAGCACCTCTCCGGGAGCAATCATATCACATATGGGAAATGACCTGGGGTGTTTAACGTTCCAATTTGTTTCACCGGCCCTGGAAGGCGCACTGCCTGTGACCTTCCGGCAGCAGACTCTGGGCGTGGACTCCTCGCACTCTCCGGACTCCCAGGTAGGCACAAATACCTTACTGGGGATCCCCACAAGACTTTGGGCAAGAGCAGACAGAGGATCCCACCTTAGAGGGATATAGGAGTAAGGCCCCGCACTGGGACTTGGACCAGGAATGGTTCCAATGGGAAAAGGGTGTAACGGGTGACCAGAGAAATCGGGGTGGGAGCGAGCCAAGTGGCCAAAAGACAACTTTACCATGCAATACCAACCAGGAAAGCAGAATGTTAATGCTGATGGGTTGCCCTGGCAGACCAAACTGGAAAAATAGCGACCACTTGCCCAGACATCTCCAAGCCAACCCATTAGGGTTTAGGCAGGTATGCCTGTTACGGTTGGCTGGAAGTTGGACCGCTTGGATATCCTGGTTCCCGAACTTGGAGAGGAGGAGAGCCGCTTAAATCAGCATACAGTAGTAATTCCTGGAAATGTAGAACATCCCACTAGCTATAGCACAGCTATGATACACTTTTCCCTACAACACGAGTCGAGGCTGCGAGTTGAGGGTAAAACAAACTGACTTTAATGGCACTCATGCATGGCAATTTATGCAGTTACCAGGCCAGGGGACAGCCCCCCTCTGAACCTGATGGAACACTGGACAATACAATGGCCCAACCAATAAGAACAAAGTGCATTCTTTGAAACACTCCCCCCTACCTTGGAGATAATTGATCCCAACGGTTACATTACCCTAATTATCTCCAAGGACATGAAAATGCCACGTTTTATTATACACACTAAAACAGCATAAAAATATATAACCTTTACATTTAAATATGAAAATATTCCATTCGACCATTCCCTGGATAGCTCAGATCTGAACGCACAAAATTTACGAATGGCACTCAGATGTTACGAACAGTGTGCAAAAGTCCCGAAAGTAAAGTCTGTTCGTATGGGTTTTATACGAATGGATGGGGTAACCGGCACTTCTGCGGAGTTCGTATAAATCAGTAACCGATTATAGTTCCAGGAGTTTTAGCCCTAGGCCCCGCTGAGCGCTTGACGACACAAAAATGGCCACCACCTCGTGTTCGACATGCACACTACATGCACACGGCGACCACCTTGGAATAGGTACTTAGAGTGTGGTTAACCACAAAAACCACAACTTAATTGAGGACACACGCCAGTATCTAGGTGGTCGTCGTTCGACAGTTCTTTCGTGCGGTGGTTCGGTACTTTGTTCGAGTACTTTTATACGAATGTGGCCACCCTGATGTCAGCCAATTAGGCTGCGGTTAACCACAAACTGCAGCTCCCAGCAGGTTAATTGTCGGCATACTCCTGGGGTAGGGTGGTCCGCTGTTTGTCGGTTCTTTCGGTGGTTTCAAGGTCAATGAGGTTAACTAGTGGCACACGCCAAGAGCCGGATGAAACATAGAAACATAGAATGTGACGGCAGATAAGAACCATTCGGCCCATCTAGTCTGCCCAATTTTCTAAATACTTTCATTAGTCCCTAGTCTTATCTTATAGCTAGGTTAGCCTTATGCCTACCCCACACATGCTTAAACTCCTTTACTGTGTTAACCTCTACCACTTCAGCTGGAAGGCTATTCCATGCATCCACTACCCTCTCAGTAAAGTAATACTTCCTGATATTATTTTTAAACCTTTGTCCCTCTAATTTAAGACTATGTCCTCTTGTTGTGGTAGTTTTTCTTCTTTTAAATATAGTCTCCTCCTTTACTGTGTTGATTCCCTTTATATATTTAAATGTTTCTATCATATCCCCCCTGTCTCGTCTTTCCTCCAAGCTATACATGTTAAGATCCTTTAACCTTTCCTGGTAAGTTTTATCCCGCAATCCATGAACCAGTTTAGTAGCCCTTCTCTGAACCCTCTCTAAGGTATCAATATCCTTCTGAAGATACGGTCTCCAGTACTGTGTACAATACTCCAAGTGAGGTCTCACCAGTGTTCTGTACAATGGCATGATCACTTCCCTCTTTCTACTGCTAATACCTCTCCCTATACAACCAAGTATTCTGCTAGTATTTCCTGCTGCTCTATTACATTGTCTGCCTACCTTTAAGTCATCAGAAATAATCTTGTCATCAGAATAGTCATCAGAAATAATGTTGAGGTTAGGACTCTATCAAATATTCTGTACTCTGCCCTTGGGTTTTTACATCCAAGATGCATTATCTTGCACTTATCCACATTAAATGCCAGTTGCCACAATTCTGACCATTTTTCTAGTTTACCTAAATCATTTGTCATTTGGCTTATCCCTCCTGGAACATCAACCCTGTTACAGATGGTCGGTCATTAGTACATATTAGTACATATGAATGACTGGCAGAATGGGTTCGCATAAAACAAAATATCAAAGTGCAACAAAAGTATCTGTATGAATCCGACATAGGGGATCTCTGTATCAATGTCGTCCCATGTAACTGGAGGGGAGCTATGTAACAAAATCCACTATTTTGCCTACCCAGGTCATGTTCTCTTCCTCAGTTCCCTGATCGTGTTCTTAGACTTTGTTTATACTTTCCCTGCATTCGGTATAATAAACTACCGAACACTGACCACCCCCCTGGGGTGGGACCACTGCCTGCTTGTGAATTGCTCTATTATATTCTGTGTGTTTCCCCGTTATTTTCGTATCAATGTGCTTGCTCCCTGTTTAGGAGTTCTTACACAACAGGAATGCATTCACCTCCCGAACAGAGACCACCCCGATAACTTATTTAGAATGTTGGTTTAGAATGTTCGCACCTCGTAATACACACAAAACCACAAACCGCAAAGGAGGCCTCAGCGGGTGCCTCCCTTGGGTGGCAGCCCGTTATGTCCTTCGGTAGTTCTGGGACCGAGATGTTTGGTTCTTCTAATGTTAGTAATATGTCATCTGCGTAAATATTTAATTTGGTTTGTCCTAGCAAATTTGGGATTCTTTTGATTATTTTTTTCTTTTTGTTAGTACTAGGGATAAGGGACCTGTGTGGTATATTAACAACGGTAAATTATGAACTGAGGGGAAACAAACAAACAAAATAATGAACTATAGATTACATTAAAAAATGATCAACATGCACTCAATAAAGGAATTAAGGAACAAAAAGAAGTAATATTTTTACACTAAGATAATAATAGGAAAGAAACAAATGAAGAGAAATTAAGTAAGTTATAAAACACAGAAAGGCACACATTTCGATAGGGAAGATAATAAAGTTAAGGGTAAGGGAGTGAGTGAGAAGTTTAAGAACACCATAAGTGTTGCACAAGGAAATAAAAGGAAATAATGTGATAAAAACACTTTAATAATAATCTAAGTAATAAGATAATGAAAGTGCCAAGGAATCCGTTTTATAGATCCCCTTTGGCTTTCTCTCCTCCCCTCTCCCCCTCTACTAGTAGTGCCTCCAGTTAAGCTCACCTCAGATCGATTACCTTCAGCACGCTTTTCCCACACAATATGTGGGACCTATATCTGAGTAATGGTTTTCATTACTCAAGATGCTGTATGGTGGGGATTCGCCGCCATACATTACACTTGTTTTAGGTTCATACCATTGTTTTGGATCAACTTGTCTTATTTTTGTGTAAATACAGATAGAGAGTTTTTGGTTTCTCATTTATATATGGTAATAATTGAGTCCCCCAAAAAAAAATATATATACCATAAATTAAACTGAGCTCTTTAAATGCCCAGGGGATTAATACACCATGTAAAATTTACATAATTGTAGATTTTCTGGTTAAAAATCATGCACAAATTTGTGCCCTGCAAGAAACCCACTGGACACAAGCCAAAGAAAAGACAATAAATTTATCAAGATACACCATTATTATAAGTGGAGCCTTAGAAAATAAAGAAAAAGGGGGTGTTGCATTTATCTTTGCAAAAAATGTTTCGTTAATCATTAAATATCAAGAACTAGATCCAGATGGGCGATATATCATCGTAATATGTGAAATAAACAACAGGTTATTCACACTAGCCAATATTTATGCACCAAATATAGCAACAATAACATTTATATCAGGGTGGGGGGGGGGGCTGAGCCGACAGCCAAGCTGACTGGTCGCACTCTCTGGGAGCTCCGTAACATCCAGCACAGAAACTGCTAAACTGACCACTTTTACCCCCAAATAGAGAGACAAGCTGGGCCCCCCTGATAAGCACAAACGAGATGGGCAGGAAAAATAAAAAAAACAAAAGTCAGATACCGGCCAGGCATAAACGGGACCCCCAGGCATAAAAGGGGTTAAAAGCTGTTTAGGAGATATTCCCTTCGAAATACACAGGCAGCTACTCCATACACCAACCTCCCGAACAGGAAACCATACGAATTCTCCAAACTCCCGAATCGGAACCATACGAATGCTTCAAACAGCCGAACAGGAAAAACCATACGAACGGTTTACACTCCTAGCAGTCGAATTGGAACAGCATACAATAAATCTCCCCAAGAACGTGACAAGGCTCTGTGTTGAGGGTCAAGCAGTGATCTGGTTTAATGGGGCTACCTGCCCGGTATTTATGCAGGTCTTCCACCAGGTGAACACTTCCCTAGGGGACCTGGTGGAAGACTGGGACACAAATTGCACAGTGACCAATCACAGACATACATAGTGAAACCCTCCCACTAGTACAGTATAATCCCTCCTCTCTATCCTAGAGATAATTGGGAAGTAATCCAATTATCTCCAAGGATAGAGGTAAAACTCCATTACACACATTTTCAGTAAAAGACGCTGCGCTTGTCTATGATAACCTCGTGCCAATCGCACATCCCACTGACGGCGACAACACATTCGGATGTCTTCCCTATCATCTTTCGATGCAATTTTCCACGCCTACCATGGTAACCATGGGTAACAGGGAATCAGGGTTCGATTCTAAAGAGGGAGCCTGAGAAACGGCTACCACATGCAACGAAAGGCAGCAGGTGCGCAAATTATCCACTTCCAATGCGGGGAGGTAATGACAACAAATAACAATACACTACTCTTTCGAGGCCCTGTAATTGTAATGAGTCCACTTTAAATCCTTTAACTTGGATCAATTGGAGGGCAAGTCTGGTGCAGAGCGACTGACCTGTGCATGCTGCAGCTGAAACTCCACTATCGCCTGCTGCTACTCGCTGAAGCTGCATCAGGGTCCTGGTATGTGGCCGCACAAACGCTGATGCTCAACACCAGGGGGCGTGCAGTTACCCTGCACCAGACCCTGCTAATCCATTCCAAACTGTGACTCCTAACGTCAACATCAGGCATACAGGGTCCCGGTCGTCCGACCGCTGCCCAGACAGTGCCTTGGTCCCGGTCACTGGACTGCGAAACTGTGAATGGCTCATTAAATCGGTTATGGTTCCTTTTAGCACTCCTTCTGTTACTTGGATAACTGTGGGAATTCTAAAGATAATACATGCTGACGAGCTCTAGGGGACGGCCACTTCGCTTTTGCACCCTGCTCCCTCTTATGCTGTGCTGGTGCCTCTATGCGACCAGCGCCTCTTCCTCCAAACTGCACACGTCACTCGCATGACCTTCATTCCACGTTGTTTTGGTGTTTGTTTTTTTAACTTTGTAGTTGTGTCTTTACACAATATCGAAATGTATATTAATGATTCTGTATATGAAGGAATCACAATAACACTTATTTTTAACTTTTTAAAAAGTCTTTAGACTTTCTTGACAAGCGGTAACTAGCAAGTGTTGCACACATGCACCAGATATTAAGTGACTTTTTAGCACCTAAAGAATTTGAATGTTTAAAAATACGGTGTAAGCACAGCATTTGACGGTTCTATTTGACTCTCAGATATGAAGTGCAGGCACCAAAATGACTTTGTGCACCTAAAGCATTTGAATTTTTAAAACTGCAATGTAAACACAATATTTGACGGTTCTATTTGACTCTCAGATATGAAGTGCACCGCAGGCCGCAAATGTACTATTTAGCACCAAAAAGTTAGATTTTTTTAAACCAACAATGTAACAGTAGTATTTAAGGATTTTATTGGACTGCAAGAAATGCAGTACGCAAATGTACTGTTTAGCACCAAAAAACTTGCAGTATTTAAAAATGCCTAGATGTTGCCCACTGAGTAGAGTTCAGCGAACCCGAGGTTTGGGTTCGTACTGAACATTTCGTTTTTTGGACCCCGGACCCGAACACGGACATATCACTGTATGTTCGGGTTGGAGTTCGGAGTTCGGAGATTTAATGACGCATTTTGAAAGGTCACAGGGCAGCCAATCAACAAGCGTTTGACTCGTGTGCCCTTAGAAGCTATCACAGCCATGCCTACTAATGGCATGGCTGTGATTGGCCAGTGCAGCAAGTGACCCAGCCTGTATAGAAGCTGGTCACTTAGTATTAGTAAATTATGCCCCTACTCGCTATACCACCTGTGGCTGCTCACTGTTAAAAAAATAAATAAAAAAATTCCCCCCTCCTGAGTCCCCACTCGCAACGCGCGAGTGGTGGCTTTTAAACTAAAGGGGGGACCTATTGCCCCCCCCGGCCCCCACCCGTGGGTGGCAGGTGGGGGCCCTAAATACCAATAACAGGGGAAACTATTGTCCCGACCCCCACCTCTGCTCTGTGACAGTTCCAAAGAACTTTCACACGCTGTGTAAAATGACACAGAGCACTCTATTTACCTGTCAGAGCACTCTGATTGGATGGCTTAAACCCACCAATGAGAGTGCTCTGTGCATAATTGCAGGGTGGGGGAAGGCTTATAAGCCTTCCCCCGCCCTGCAGAGCTCAGTCTGCGCGGAGCCCTCTATGGGTGAAGGAGGATTTTTTTTGGGGGGCGCTCGTTTTTTTTATTTTTTTTTTAAAGTGCATCGGTTATTCTTGATTTTTATTTGGGGCTGAAAAAATAATATAAGACATCAAATGGTAAGTCTATTTTTTTTTTTTTTTACAGGTATTTAGACAAGGGTTACCTCTCATCATTTTTAGAATGAGGGGGGTAGGTAGGGGTAATTTATTTGGGGGGAGGGCGGTGACTAGGTTTGGGGACCCCTAGTCACCTGGGGGGGTGAATTTTTATTTATGGCCCCCACCCACCGCGCAGGGGTGGGGGCCGGGGGGGGGAGGACAATAGGTCCCCCCCTTATTGTAATTTAGGTCCCCAACCTGCCGCGCAGGGGTGGGGGCCGTGGGGAGGACATTAGGTCCCCCCTTATTGTTATTTAGGGCCACTGCCCACCCCCCCTGTGCGGGCCAAGGCCGCAACACAGGGCTGTGATCCCTGCGACAGCGGTATGTACGCCAGTGCATGCAGATACATATACACTTAAAGGACCATTACAGACACCTGGATCACATCAGCTCAATGAAGTGGTCTGAGTGCCAAGTCCCTCTAGTTTTTACCCTGTAGCAGAAAACAGCAGTTTCAGAGAAACTGCTATGTTTCAGAGAAACTGCTATGTTTCACTGAGTGTTAATCCAGCCTCTAGTGGCTGTCTCATTGACAGCCGCTAGAGGAGCTGCCGCGCATTCGGAGCTGAGAGGTGGATCGGGGCGCAGGGATCCTCAGCGCCAAGGAAGTCCAGCGCTGGAGAAAGGTAAGTGCTGAAGACACACACACACTCACGAAACAGACGTATACACACTAGCTAACAGACACATACTCTCACGAACAGACGCATACACACTAGCTAACAGACACACATTTACTGACAGACACACACTCAGTGACAGACATAAATACACACTCACTGACAGACACATACACACACTTACAGACACCAGACAGACTCACTAACAGACGCACACAAACTAACACACTCAGTAACACACACACACACTAACAAACTTTTTAAAAAACAATTTCATTATTTTAAAAAAAATTTCATCCCCCAGCCTACCTTAGGGAGTGCTGAGGGGATTCCATGGGGTCCAGTGGTGTTGTGGGTGGGCTGTCTGGTTGGTGGGTACGCGAGGGAGAACTCTCCACTGAGTGCTTCCTCTTCAGCTCCCTCGCGCGCGGCATACTGATGCAGGAGCCGGAATATGTCATATTCTGGCTCCTGCATCAGTACGCGGCGCGCGAGGGAGGTGAAGAGGAAGCACTCAGGGAAGAGTGCTCCCTCGCACGCCCGCCAGCCAGACAGCCTGCCCGGTGACACCACCAGGGCCAGCCTCGGGGGGCCCCTCAGGTGACCCAGCTCCCAGGAGCAGAGGCTGGCCACAGTGGGTGCATACCGGGTCGCAGGGCGGCTGGGCCCCCTGGTGGGCCAGGCCCTGTTGCAGCCGCGACCAGGGGCGTATTAGCCGCGAGGCAAACAAGGCATTTGCCTTGGGCGGCATTTTTCAGGGGGCGGCAAAAAACGCCGCCCCCCAAATGCCCAGGGCAAATGCCTTGTTAGCCTTGCGGCTAACTGACATCCCGGGCGGGCGGCGCTGGCAGGCGGGCGGCCGGCGAGGGAGCACTTCCCATGAGCTGACTGCTCAGCTCCCTCGCGCACCGCAAAGTGAGGCTGGGAGCCGGAAGATGACGTCATCTTCCGGTTCCCAGCCTCACTCTGCAGCCGACGCGCGAGGGAGCTGAGCAGTCAGCTCATAGGAAGTGCTCCCTCGCCAGCCGCCCGCCTG